TTCCAAATCTAGAAGACATTAGAGTTCACCTAGTTTAGTATTCTCCATACTTTTTAATGCCAAATCTTTTTTTCCAAATAAATCCTTTTTAAAAAAATTTTATTTATTTATTCATGAGAGACACAGAGAAAGAGGCAGAGACATAGGCAGAGGGAGAAGAGACTCCCTGCGGGGGGCCTGATGCAGGACTCGATCACAGGACTCCGGGATCATGATGTGAGCCAAAGGCAGATGTTCAACCACTAAGCCACCCAGGTGCCCCCTCCAAATAAATTCTTACAGAATATCAGTAGGGTTAAAGATAAAGATTGGGCTCCTCAGGGATTTATTCTTTGCTGTTTGGTCTCAAGTACTTCATTTTCTGCAGAACTGCTGAAGCATCTTCATAGATCTTGGTACACTTTGAAAACCACTGATCTTGTCCAGCATTCCTCCCTGTCCCCACTTCATCCCCTTACAGTTAGGAAACCTGACTATCCGGATCCAGAGAAGTTAGAGCACTCCTTAGTTACTCTCTGAGCAAAAGTAAAATCAAGACCTTTTAATTTGCAGTTAAACTGTAAACCGTTTTCCATTATTACTTTTCCTTTGCCAGTTCTACCCAATATATAGTCAGTTCTTATCCAACATATATATTTGCTGTTTTGTTTTAACTAATCTCTAGGTAACCAAGGTTTTGTGATACATATGTATGTAAATCTGGTGTGTGTGTGTGTTTCTGTAATATCTTGCAGATTCCTCAAAGTGCTTCTATGACTCTCGTCTTTAACTGAACATTTCTCCCTTTTGGGAATGTATTTACCTTATCGTTCATCTAGCAAACCTCTTGTAATTCATTTTTTAAACCACTTTGAGATATAACTTACATACCATAACATTCACCCATTTTAAGTGTACATTCAATGATTTATAGTAAACAAGTTGCAACTACTATCATATGTAGTTTTAGAAAATTTTTATCACTCCAATCAGATCCCATCTGCCCATTTATAAGTAATAGCTATTCTCAATCCTAACCACTAATTACTTTCTGTCTTCATAGATTGCTTTCTTTGGACAAATTTTTTTTAAAGATTTTATTTATTTATTCATGAGAGACACAGAGAGAAACGCAGAGATGTAGGCAGAGGGAGAAGCAGGCTCCATGCAGGGAGCCTGATGCGGGACTCAATCCCAGGACCACGGGATCACGCCCTGAGCCAAAGGCAGACACTCAACCGCTGAGCCATCCAGGCATCCCTCTTTGGACATTTTGTATAAACAAAATCTTACAATATATGATCTTCTGTGTCATCCTTCTTTCACTTAACATACATATACTTAATATCGATACCAGGACTACTAATTTTTCATAAGACAAAAGGAGAGACTTCAGAGTCTGGAAGTAAATTAAACATTATACTCTTCTATACAATCAACTCACTAAGAATAAAATCCAAATACTCGAATTGGATTAGAAAGCCTAGTGATCCAACCCTATCTATTTACCTGACCTCAGATTGCTTCTCCCCTATTACTCTCCAATAAACCCTTCTTTGGTTCCTTTGAAGAGCCACAGTCATTTCTATTTTAGGGTCTTTGCATAAATCATTCCCTGTGACTGGAATATGCTACTTCCTTCTTGATTCATATCTAATCTTAAATAACACCACCTTAGAGAGTCCTCCTTTGACTGCCCAACTCCAACAGTAAAGTCAACTCTCTAACATATACCAGTCTACTGTAACTTCTTAAACATCTTACTATCTGACATTTATTTGTTGTTATTATTGCCTCTCCTTCCTACTAGGGCATAAGCTCTCTGACAGCAGGGACCTTCTTGGACAGCTTTATCAGTGTATCCAAAGGCACTTAGTAGAGAAACAGTAAGTAGGTAAATAATATTTGTTGAATAAAAACAGATTATTACTCCTCTTAATGATGTCTTAACTTGACAGTCTCAATACACATTCCACTTAACAAGGAAAATTTTCATGGAACTATGGGGTTTGAAATAAAAAAATCCTATTTTATGGCATGCTTATGATAGACTGCATATCAACTGGTTTTGTGTGTTTAGAAGTATTAGTCTATATAACTACTTACCTTCATTAATACTAAAAATCAAGAGTCTTCTGCTAGTTAAGAAACCACAAAGTGAATGAAAAATACTCAGCAGTCAATTCTGAGCTCTCTCTGTGCTGCTTTAGAAAACAAGAGTAAAGGACCTGGCTGTCTCAGTCAGTTAAGTGTCTGCCTTCGGCTACGGTCATGATCTCAGAGTCCTGGGATCGAGTCCCATGTCGGGTTCCATGCTAAGTGAGGAGGTAACTTCTTCGTCTCCCATCGACTCCCAACCCTGCCCATGCTCACTCGCTCTCTGTCTCAAATAAATAAATAAAATCTAAAAAAAAAAAAAAAACCCACTTTGCAAAGCATGTACTGTTCAGGTCTGTCATAGCACCCAAAACAGAACTTCAGTTCAATAACTTGATGGCTGTTTTCCCAGTAACTCATGGGAAAGCCTTTCTCAGAGATGACAGAGTGTCTTTCGAAAGTGGTGCCCACTTCCCTTTTAAAAAATTGAGAAAGAGAGCATGGCAAGGTAACACATTCTACATTTAGCAAGTGTATTTCTGGGAACTAAAATCTACTTTTCCAATTCTGCCAAACCAAAAGAAAGACAGTAGAGTTCTTTAACTTTCTAAGAAATTTTTTATCTGTTAGGTTGGTGGTTCTCAAAATGGGCACCTATACTAGCAGCTTCAGCATCACTGGAGAATTTGCTAGCAGTGCAAATTCTTAGGCTGCTGCCCCGGATCTACTATATCTGAAAATCTGAGGGGAAGGCCAGCCATCTCTTTTCTAAGTCCTATAAGTAATTCTGATGAATACTAAGTCTGAGAACCACCAGTATAGGTTATTGTTTTTCCCATAAATGCTGATCCAAATGCCGCAGAGAAAATTATAAGGAAGGGGACTTTGCCACAGTTTATGTATTCTGCAGGATATCCATACATTTGTTTTAAAATTTAAAAGTGTCATGAATATAATGACTGTATTTTTAGTGCTTTTTATCTTAGAAAACTGTATAAAAGTTATCACTAATAACCTCTTTCTCCTGGAATATAAATAACTTGGGCAGTACAAAAAGTATATTTTCATAGAGATTTCATCAAATACGTAAGACGGAACCTAAAAAGGCACTTCCTGTTTTTCACACAAGTAGTAAGTCATTTGCATACCCAGATTAGAGAATAGAACCAAGTTGGGGAAACAATGCTTTGTGGCTGCCTAGAAAAATTCTATAGAAGAGAGAAAACTAAATTTAAAAAAATTAATCTATGTACCATGTGGATATGATTTTAAGGGCTTATTTGGAGACTGCCAATTCTCACAGTAAATTTCCTCTCAAATACCTTCACCTATTTTAAACATGAGAACAATAACTCTATACCCCTCTACCAATCTAGAGGATCAGAAGGAGGACAGGGTCACCCTAGTTTAGTTCTTGCCAGTCTGAATGATAGATATACATGTGATGAAGACAAGGATCTTTTAAAAAAATTTATCCTTAAAAAGAAACAAAAACTTTTAAATGATAAGTTATGATAAGTTATACCAAAAAATGATGGAAAGGGGCTAGGTTAACTTTTCCTAACAGAAATAAAAACAAAACCAATATAAAAATATATATACTCCATTAGCTTAAGATTTATTACCCATCTCTATCACAAGATTAATTTATTCCTTTCTTTTTTTCCTTTCTCTTGGCAACCATCAGTTCTTAAAAAGCACATTGTCTATGAAAGAGAATACTGGACTGAGAACCAAGAAACTCCATTTACTTACTTCAACACAGCAATGTTCAGAAGGGGTTTAAAGTGTGAAACAGACTTACTTGGCAAGATTTTTTTTTTTTTAAGTATGCACTTTATTAGAAGACAAAGAACAAAATTTTTTGCCAATTTAAATGTAATAACTAAGAGAGTGATGAATGCTAAAAGGTAAATCATTTATACCTTTTCTCTGATTCTTCAGAACCAGAGGCAATATTTCTGAGATGACTGGCCAGGATATCAGGATATCAATTAAACTGAGATACTCTTTCCAGTTAATACAGAAAACACAGACACCTCTAAAGCCACAGATACAGCACTGGTGTCCAATGATGATCTATCTTCTTGTTGTAAATATCTATTTTAAATTATGCATTCCAAGATGACATATTAGGGAATACTTCATTTCATAGATCCTAATATGCACATTTTTCCCCCTATTATGATATATCTGAAATAGGAAGGGGTCCTTACAAGCAATTAGGTCTTAAAACCATTGTTGGCTATGAGCAGTCATAGTTGTCATAGATCATATATGTATACAAACATCAGAACACAAATATCAGACTTGGAAAATGAGTATCAGGCAGCCTGGAAGAAAACCCTGGAAACAGTTATGGAGCACTCTTTTAACCCCTCAGAATCAAGACTGACGGTTAAAAATTAACCAACTTTACACAGCAATAATTATTACAAAGGTGGCTTACAAGCCTAATATGAATGGCTTTTGGTTCTTTTGCAGATTCTTTTAATAAATGCTGCATCACGATGCTCTTGATGGCATAGAAAATAATACTGTATAGAAAACATGCTTCAGCAATGCAGAGTAAGTTATCTGGAAGAATGTGAGAAGGCTTTAAGAAAACTTAACCAACTTAATTAGATTAAACTTCCCTGTTTTTGTATGCCAGAGTTGGATTTAAGACTAAAGTCTTTCTGTAGCTAAATTTCAGTGGTCGATTCCAATGAGGAGAAAAAAGATCTAAGTTATAGGAAAATAGTATAAAAAATACAATATTAAAAAATTTCATACCCACTCCTGTATTATATAAAATAGTAATATCTTTTTTAAAAATAATATCTTAAAATTCACAATATGTAACAAAATCTACCTGCAATTTGTAGTTTTCCAAAACATTTTTGCTAACTACCATAAAAAAAATACTTTCTTAGTAATATTACCTGTAAACCACAGCAGCCTACTGCATTCATTATGGAAGCATTGTGAATAACTCGGTAAGAAATTCCCAGTTTTGTTGCTCTCAAAATAAGATCACTGTGTGTGGTAGCCCTGTAGTGAGAAAGATCAAGTTGGATTAAAGTAACCACACTGACTTTTTAAGACAGTAAAGGTATAACATTTCATGAGTTCAGGTCAATCATAGGGCTACGGGGGCTGCTTTTCCTCAAATTCTGGGCATTCTGACAAGAAAAGTGTTAAGTCTACACATGCCCTTCATAATGCTGAACTGCACTTGTTACACTCTTAAGCAGCCTTGGCAGCTACAGAGAAAGGGAAGTTTGACTTGCTCTTTTGTCCTGTTAATACCTGCAAAGACATTTGTGGAATGTAAGCTTAGCAACTGAACTCTTGAGCAGCAATTCTCACTTTGGGCTCAGGGCCTCCTTAGACTCTTAAAATGACTGCTCTGAGTTCTAAATTATGGAACAATTAGATATACTCTTTTATTTCTGCTTTTTTTTTAAGATTTTATTTATTTATTTATTCATGAGAGGCACAGAGAGAGAGAAGCAGAGACAGAGGCAGAGGGAGAAGCAGGCTCCCCACAAAGAGCCAGATGTGGGACTCGATCCCGGGATCCTGGGATCACATCCTGAGATGAATGCAGACCCTCAACCGCTAAGCCACACAGGCGTCCCAATTTCTGCTATCTTTTGAAGGTTTCTTTTTTTGTGTTTTGAAATACAACAAGGCAGATGGTACAGAACATTTTTGTAGCCTGTTATTCTTTGCCTTTATATTAGGGTTCTACCTGATATAACCATAGTTGGATTTTACATCTGTCTAACAGTGATTTTATTTATAACTGTTTTCAGTCTGGTTACTGTACATGTAATTAGTATGTGAGCACGTGTATGTGCGTGCATATTCTTGCCTGTTGCCTTTCCTTTTTTGAGACAAATCTAATGCTTATAATTAGACAGACTGGGAAGAGAGAATATGTGTAAAATATAAATATGGATACTGTGAAATGTAACCCCACATCAATTTAGAACTGCATTATTATGGGCCTTTTTTCCCCTTGATGAAAACTCCTGGCCCTGCTGGGGAAAGCAACATTAGCATGTTTGAGAAACTACATACAAACCAGCAGAACCTGTCAACTGGTCAATGCATACCAAGTAGGAAGATCAAGGGCTTTCACCCCATGAGGCAGTCAGAAACAGATTAACAAATGCCCACCAGGGAAGCCTGTTTTTAATCACACATAAAATAAAAACTAGTATGAAAAACAATCATTAATTTGATTTAGAGTCAGCTTTTAAAAAACAATATAAATGCCAGTTATAAAGAATGTTTTTAATATCATCTTTAACAGAATTTTACTACTTAACACTAATATTAAGGAAAACTGAATTAGTTACTTGGTGAATTATTTGAATAGATGAGCAGAAAGTAAACCTACTTTAAAATTATATCTCTATCACAACTTCATCTAAAATGACCAGATGTGGTTGGTGCACTATGGAGGTTTAATGACCTGGCAAAGTGATTTGATTTTGTGAAGCTGCCATAAATGTGATTAAATAAGCCCCTCAGATTTCTGCTATGAAACCTGGTATTTTATCATCACGATTACCCAAATAATATTGCTTCACGAAAAAGAAAAAAACTGGTTTGAAACACAGGCTTAAAGCATTATACTGGGCATTCCTTCTAGTCCAAGGTCATGAAAACACTTCAATTATGGTGATTGGAAAAGTATGTGTATAAAGACATTTATTACTATTTTAGGGCATGTGGCTCTGTTCAACATCAGATATATGTGTGTGTGTGTATGTATATATGGTTTTCGATAGAGCCATATGCTCAGAAATAATAATAAATTTAGCTTAATAATATGCTTGCTTCTTGGAATTGCTCTGAAAGCAATTTCAGGAGATTCAAGAATGTTTTAGTCAATGGAGCCAATAAAATAAAGAAAATAAAGGTGACCAATTTGAATGTATAAGACTTGGTATGTTAAAAAAAAAGAAAGAAAGAAAAAAAGACTTGATATGTTTATTTTAAACTTGATTTTAGGGCCACCTGGGTGGCTTAGTGGTTGAGCGTCTGTCTTCCTTTGGCTCAGGGCATGATCCTGGAGTCCCAGGATTGAGTCCCACATCAGGCTCCCTACATGGAGCCTGCTTCTCCCTCTGCCTATGTTTCTGCCTCTCTGTGTCTCTCATGAATAAATAAATAAAATCTTTAAAAAAAAAAAAACAACAACTTGATTTAATAGGAGCGTCTGGGAAGCTTAGTCAGTTAAGTGACTCTTCATCTCCGCTCAGGTCCTGATCTCAGGGTCCTGAATTCAAGCCCCACATTGGGCTCCATGCTGGAGTCCCACTTAAAAATAAATAAATAAATAAACTTTATTTTATAATAACATTAGTTTGCATTAGCCATTAGTGCTATGGCTTATGATCTGAAAATTCATCTATATTTGCAATGATATGGTGAAAGTGACATTCTCATAAACTACCAGAAGCACTATAAACTGGTACGGTCCTTTAAAAAAAAAAAAAACCTGGGGAGGGGAGAGAGAGAGAGCATGAGAGAGCACGAGCTGGGGGAGGGGTAGAGGGAGAGGGCAAACAGAGTCCCTGTTGAGCACAGAGCCTGATGTGGGGCTCAATTCTAGGACCCTGAAATCATGACATCAGCCCAGATCAGATGCTTAACTGCCTGAGTCACCCAGGTGCCTTGACACAGTCTTTTTGAAAAGTAATTTCACAATATATGCTTGAAAATACCCATATTCAAAACTTTTGCATTTTTGGTATTATAAACTGATTTTGGAGGGAAAAAAAACTAAAATGTGGGGATGGGAGAATGGAAGGAAGAGAAAAGGATCACATACATTAATCTATACATGGCAGCTTTACATATATCAGAGAAATAAATGGACTAATGATAATAATGCTGACATTTACTGGATAATTACTAGGTGCCAAGTACTGTTCAAATGCATTACATGAAATGGAAACGACCTATATTAAAGCACAAAGAAGACAAATGACTAAAGATATATTTTTATGCATGTGTATGCCATGAAGAAAAAGGCATACATTAAGGATAAAAAATTATGTGTTCAATGACTATAAAATATATATATATAGTTACAGAGCATATTAAAGTAAGGAATGGAATAACAAAATGGAACTATCATCAAAATTTATTTAATGATGGGCAGCCTGGGTGGCTCAGCGGTTTAGCGCCGCCCTCAGCCCAGGTTGTGATCCTGGAGACCCGGGATTGAGTCCCACGTTGGGCTCCCTGCATGGAGCCTCTCCCTCTGCTTGTGTCTCTGCTTCTCCCTCTCATGAATAAATAAATAAAATCTTAAAAAAAATGGTTTAATGATGACCCTGTTCAACTATTCTTTATGGGGACAGAAAGCTTACTGTCATCTCTCACATGACTGGGTCAGATCTATTGATGTACTATTTTTTTTTAGGGTCATTTACATTCTTTATGTGATTAACTTCCACATTCCTATCAATAACCTGGACAAAAGGGAAAAGATGAAAGCTACCTGAACTGACTTAACTAAATTTCAATTACCTTCCTCAGGAATTTAAAAGTGGATGATAATGATGATTACACTACTTAGTGCCACTGAATTGCACACTTAAAAATGGCTAGTGGTAAATATTATAATAAACTTTACTATAATTTAAAAGATACTAGAATAAAAAATTTAAGTAATTTTCTTTTTCAAGTTTTATTTCAAATAAGTGGAAAGGGGCTTGAAATAAAAAATAACTTGTGGTGGTTGTTGTATATAAGGAAGAATTTCAGTACTTTGCTGCATTCCATATTCCCTTCCAGGTGTATCCATTTAATGCATACAAATCGTAATTCAAGACCCAATTAAAATGTACATATTCCCTACTACCATCTTGTCTCCAACTACTGTATCTCTTGATTATATTTCAATAGTAATCCAGTGAATAAATGAAAAATAACTATAGTACAATAATTATTACACAGATCTGAATCTAGGATTATACACAATTAATGATATAGAGTAAATTAATAGGGGAGGGGAGGGGAGAGGAGAGGAGAAGGGAGAGGGGAGGGGAGGGGAGAGGAGAGGAGAGCAGAAGAGAGGAGAGGAGAGGAAGCCAGGCACTCATTCCTGAATAAAATAATGGAATATTCATATTCATGGAAGAGGTAGCTGGGTCTTAAAGAATCTATTTTATTGAATAGAAACTGTGGAGGACTAGAGTCAACGGTGCTGTATGGCATATTTCAAAGTTGTTAAGAGAGTAAGTAGATCCTAAGATTGCTCACCACAAGAAAAAAAATAGTTTTTTTTTTTGTATGATAGATGTTAACTTACTGAGGTAATCATTTCACAATGCAGATAAGTCATCTTGCTGTATATCAAAAATTACAAACTGCTGTATGTCAATTAAATCTCAATATAATTGGGAATAAAAGAAACAAACTGGTAAGAAAAGTCTATTTTAAACAAAGACATGGAAGACGAATACTGCAAAAACATTTATGAATTGGCAAAGGAGTACAACTAGGCTCTGGCACAGTCAAAAAGAAGAGTAGGCGACGGAGAAAACAGATAAACTGTTAAAAGATTTAGGCCATGAAGTCATTAAGGTTTTTCAGCAGAGTAGTAACAGCATCAAGGTACATTTTTGTTGGACTCAATTTTTTTATTTTTTATTTATGTGCAATTCTCCCTTCCCCCTCCATCCCCTGTAGACCACCTCCACAATTTCCATGTACTGAATTCTACCCAGACCCAGCTCAAGCACCAACTCCTCCACAACACCACCACTGAAAAACTCCAAACTCTATGGCTTTAAATTTACACTCTTCTATCCTCTTCCTCGACCCAACCTTTCAGCAGTCTATCAGTTAACCACTCTTTCCTCTCTATTCTCTTTTCTTGGCTTCGGTGACAACACATTCTCTTGCTTTTTCTCCTCCTCTGAGGGATGACAGACCACAAAATTCAAGTTTCCTAAGGCTTGATCTTCCTATCTTCCCCTTGTTCCTTCCTAGTGATTTCATCCATTTCTCTGGCTTTAAACACCTTGTCTCTCCCTCTCTCCCCATACATACTCATGACCTCAAAAGCCACATATTGAGGATAACCCCTTCAGATATCACATTGCCTATATGACATCTCAAATTTAAAACATTTCCAGAACCAATTCTTGTCTTCCCCAATTATTTTCCCTAGGAGTTTTCATCATTTCAAGAACTGGCACCATCAACTGATCAATTGATAAAGCTGGAATTCTGGAAAACTTGCTTCTTTCCTTTTCCTCACCTACTACATATATGTTGGCATTCTTCCTTCTGAACTTTTCCCACTTTGTCTTTTTCTCTCCTCTACCAAAGCCACCTGGCTTCCCTAAAAATCCACTTATGTGAGCATTTAAGAGTGATCATTTAAGAATGTCAGATTGTGATTCTTGCTTAAAATCCTTCAAATATTTACCAGAGTACTTTTTTTTTTTTTTAAGATTTTATTTATTTATTCATGAGAAACACACAGGCAGAGGGAGAAGCAGGCTCCATGCAGGAAGCCTGACGTGGGACCCAATCCAGGTCTCCAGGATCACACCCGGGGTTGAAGGTGGCACTAAACCGCTGAGCCACCTGGGCTACCCCTTACCAGAGTACTTCAAACAAAAGTTCTACCCTATCTAAGGCCTTACATGATCTGGGTCCCACCTACCTGTTTAACTCCTTCTTACTCCCTCTCCCTGCCCACTCACTATGCTCCACTCTGGCCTTCCAGGTTCTTTTTTTTTTTTAATATTTTATTTATTAATGAGAGATATAGAGAGAGGCAGAGACATAGGCAGAAGGAGATGCAGGCTCTCTGGGGAGCCCGATGTGGGACTCGATCCCAGGTCCCCAGGATCACACCTGAACCAAAGGCAGACGCTCAACCACTAAGCCACCCAGGCATCCCCTTTCAGGTCCTTGAATACATTCTTGCAGCTCACCTCTGCTTACAATGTTCTTCCCTTCTGCTGTTCCTTTTATTTCTCAGATACCTGCTTATATATTACCTCAATAGAGAGGATTTTCCCTATGAACCCACAAAAATTAGCCTATTTCTGCTAGTCTTGTTTCCCCCTTACATAAGGCCTATTAAAACTTTAAATTTGTTTTTTTCTCTTTGATTGATGTTAACCTCCCCTACTAAACAGTAAACCTCAGTTCTTATCATGTAACATATATCCAGCATGTAGGAGTGCCTGTCGTAAGACAGGTGTTCCAAAGATATTTGTTGAATGGATAAACATCAGTCCAAGATATGCCTGGTCTCACCTTGTGACCCCAGGCAAAATATTAAAAATTCTTTCCATTAATATTTATTTGATATGTACTACTTTGCAAAAGAGGCTAGGGAGATAAAATGTATGAAGGGCAGCCTACAAACCTAAAGAGTAGGTGTATACATTTATCGAAAAAAATGGTAATATACAATAACAAATAAATGACAAGTCAGTAGTTAGGAAGAGATAGAACTTCTGATCAGAGTAATAAAGGACTGCATCACTGAGAATGTGGTATTTGAGTTAGGCTTCAAGAGACAGCTGGACCTCTGACAATAAGATATATAGCGAAAGGTATTATAGATGAAGGAAAGAGTTTGAACAGATGTATAGAATGAGAAAGCAAGATGATGGGGGAAGGGACAAACTGGTTGGCAGAAGTGAGGGCTTTAGTAAAAGAAGGACAGAAAATAGGTAGAAGGGAAGGTTGGACATTATATTTCATATCTGGCCAACGGATGGAGCTAGTAGCTCTCATTTTGAGCTCAAATAAGGTTTTCAAATTGTAGGTTGTTTTTTTTTTAAAGATTTTATTTATTAAAAAAAAAGATGTTATTTATTCATGAGAGATTGGGGGGGGTGGGTGGGTGGGGGCGGAGGCAAAGAGGCAGAGCCATCAGGAGCATGATGCAGCTGATGCAGGATTTGATCCCAGGACCTTGGGATCATGACCTGAGCCAAAGGCAGAAGCTCATTAGACTGAGCCACTAAGTTGTGGTTTCACAAATATAAATGTGACCACAACATAGGTAATGAATTAAGAGTCTGTATCTGGACCAAGCAAAAGGCTACTATATTAAACAAACTAGGGAATAAAACAACCTAAAAAACTTGGTTAAAAAAAAAGTCAAAAGCAGTGCTTCTCAAACTAGAGAAAGGCCGATATTTTTAAGTTCTAAATTGTCATGGAACAACAGTTTTGTAATCAAAATTAATGATTTAGAAAAATAAAATATAACATAATACAAAATATAAGTTCCAAATTTTTATTATGAGTCTCAGGAGAGACAAAATTACTTTTAAAAAATGCTATCAAGTTTCTAAATGTTTACTCTCAATCTCTGTAGTTCTCATCATGAAATAGTAAGTTTGTAGGCTGGCACCAGCCTGTAAACCTCAGGTGAGTAGCAGTGGTTTATTGGACTTTGTCAGTGACTGGATGCCTGAGAGTCAGAAGTAACTCTAACAGTACTCTTCTAGGTAACTCTAAGAATTGTGATTTCATCAGGTAAGGAAATCTGGTGAGTTCAGAAGGTGTCACTGTAAAAAATACGGGATTTTGGCGGGAACCCAGTACAATGAGAAAATCCTATAAGAGTTCTAAGACAGGGATCCCTGGGTGGCGCAGTGGTTTAGCGCTGGTCTTTGGCCCAGGGTGCGATCCTGGAGACTCGGGATCGAATCCCACATCAGGCTCCCGGTGCATGGAGCCTGCTTCTCCCTCTGCCTGTGTCTCTGCCTCTCTCTCTCTCTCTGTGACTGTCATAAATAAATTAAAAAAAAAAAAAAGAGTTCTAAGACATTTTAGATATAGGATTTTTCATTCCCTTTATTTTACTATTTTGTGGCTTAAAAACTATATATAGGTACTGCTAATTTGAAGGAAGATGTACTTTTACAAAAAACAATGTCAGAGGCTAAAACAATTTGGATATTTTTAGATTTTTAATCACACAATTTGACATGTGTGATTACACAATGTCATTTGCAACCAGGTATAAATAATGAAACATAATCTCTGGCACACCACATTGATGTAAATTACTGTTTGTTGACAGACACATGCACATATAACTTCATTCTTTTGAAAAACATTCTTGGTGGTGAGTTCATAGTGATTTAATTGTCCTTATGTTCCTTAATCTGTGACATAAATCTTAGGTCACAAGTTGGAAACAAAGAACTCCTCTATTTGGCTTGACATTAGTGATTGATGATTTTTTTTTTTTTAAGATTTTATTTATTTATTCATGAGAGAGAGAGAGAGGCAGAGACGCAGGCAGGGGGAGAAGCAGGCTCCATGCAGAGAGCCCGACGTGGGACTCGATCCCGGGTCTCTAGGATCACACCCAAAGCGAAGGCGGTGCTAAACCACTGAGCCACCAGGGCTGCCCTGTGATTGATGATTCTTAACTAGACAAGCAGAAACGCATCTTTTCGTTAATGGCAAAGAATAGAGCTCCCAATGGATACAAGAAATTAAAATTTGAGGCGGGACAAATATTTTTTTTAAGATTTTATTTATTTGAGAGAGTGAGCAAAAGACAGGAGTAGAGGAGGGGCAGAAAGGGAAAGATAAGCAGACTGTGCTGAGCAGGGACCCTGATGCAGGACTTGATCCTAAGATCCTGGGATCATGACCTGAGCCAAAGGCAGATAGTTAACTGACTGAGCCACCCAGGTGCCCTGAGGCTGGACAGATTTTAAATTCAGGGCAAGTAAAGTGACAATATTGCTAAATATAAGGTGACTTAAAAAATAAATTAAGTTAAAAAAAAAAAAAAAACAAGGACAAAGGAAGCAGAAGATGCTTGTGATTTACCTGCAAAATAAAAGGTAGGTATGACTCTTGATAATGTAATACACTTAATAATGATACACTAGTTAAGTCATTTGACATCCTAAGTTACCTTCTAAAAGAACAGGAGCTGCAAGGATACAAACTTTAGAACTGACGCTTGATAACCAATGTAAGTTAACACATGATGACAACCCTATCAAGCAGATCATCTTCATATAATCTCAAAGATAATGAAAGTTTATAAAATTTTAGAGCCTAGGTAAATACAGTCCTTTTTTAGGACCAGGCAAGTAAAAGGTCTTAAATATAACAGAATAATTCTGATTTGTTTTTGAAAAGCAAGCAAATTAAAACTCAAAATACCTGCTTTAACTTACCCAAATGGATCACCAACCACAAGGAATGCAACATCACTGATATCGGCATCCTTTAAAATATTATCTGCTTCTTGTTCCACTTCTTCTCTATCAGCAAGAATCAATTTTCTTCCATAAAACTCTTCCTACAGATTTAAGTCCAATATCAAAATGAGACAGCAGATGACCATTTCAACACATGCACCACACACACACACACACACACACACACACACACACACACACACATCTTTGTCTGGGGCTGGTGCAAATCTTGGCAATCATCCAAACACAGATCACTGACTAGGACTCCTCAGTGGGCTAGCACTCTCTATCATGTTGCAATTAAACTCTGTCTTTGAGGCTGTCGTAATATCCCAAAGGAGGTAGACCTCCTAACATCTGACGCTTTCTGCATTTTAAATTTACCTCTAAATTTGAGTCTAGCAAGCCATGCACGGTGGAACAGAGAACGTGCATGAAATTTATTTCAGAAACAGTAATACAGAACATCTCAAATAATAATTATGAACATACATGGTAATTTGGGTTTTATTAAATTTTCCACAGGAAAACATACAGGAATCTGGCTAAAATAAAAGGTAACTTCAATGAGAAATAATAGAAAATTAAGATTTACTTATCTACAGAACCAGCAAACAGTCCTGTAATTGCAGGAAAGATTAATTTAAAGCTTTATTTCCTAGTTCCTGCTAAAAAGGCAGAGTTGCAGAGGAAAGAAAAAAAATTCTAATTATATAGGAAGTCTCCATACAAACTGCTTTGTGAACCAACCCCCTGAAGTTCAACTCCAGAGAATAAATCCAGGAGGCTGACTGTAACTGCAGTGGCAGCAGGTAAGTACAGAGTGAACCAGAGTTCTAATAGTCATGTGGCAGTGGTTACAAACTATTATGTAAGGTCATGAATCTTATTAACTGATTTCCTGTGGAGTAATATGTAATTCAAATATAGTGAAAATAACACATAGACAAATACTATTTCTTACATGCTGAGAAGTTTGAGTTATAAGGATTATATCAGATGTAAACATTACAAGGATTGCTATACTCAGTATCTTTCAAGCAAAAGAGTAAATAAACAAATGATTAAACATTTGAAGATAAAGGCTCTAGTTTCAACTCTCATAATTATTGCCTAATACTTAACTAGAATCTGAAAATGTGAAAAAAGATCCCTTCCCTTTTTCTCTACATCTTCTCAAAGAAAATGCTCCAGAAGTTCCCAATGACAATGTTTTTACAGACAAAAAAATGTTCTCTTTATTTTCACTTTTACCATGTATTTTTTTCTTAATCATTGATTTGTATGTAACTTACTTTAATTTCATGAACCCAGAAAACTTATTAGTGGTAGAACATTTATATTCACGTGTCTAAGAAGACACACACATGATCATGGAAAACTAAAGGAAACGGTATTTCTTTCTGAACATTTCTTACAATCAAAGTCACATGCTACTAGCTTAATGCTAGCAGTATTCCTAAATCCTATCCAATATTTTATAAATGAACAGAAAACTCCACTCTCCTCAAGACTTCTATCATGTACCACACTATATTTATCATTTATCCTAAGAAACATTTCATTATCTAATCGAAACACAATGTTTATTTAAAAAAAAAAAAAGTATCCACCTATGCACACTTGTGCACACACCCAAACACTCCAGTATAATCAAATGGCTGATCCTCTTGGGAAAAAAAGAAAAAAGTTTAAAAAAAGGGAAGAAAGAGCAAAACTGGTATTACAATATTCTTAATTTACCCACTTCATTATTTATTCATTTACTCACTTGAAGGATATTTCTTGTGCACAACCTCCACACCAAACGCTATGCTTGATGTTGGGAAACAATGATGAAAGAGATAAATGTGGCCCCTATCGTGTCACTTATAATGTTTAGGGGGGAATTATCTACCACATTAATAAGTGCTATAGGAGCATGGAACCTAGTAGGTCATGGAAGGGGGAGAAAAAGTAGTATTATTTAAAAAATAATTTTACATTTATATTATATATTATCCAATGACTGATAAGCCAGGTTTTGTACAGTATCAATCCTAATCTTCTCCATTCATGAAAACGAAGGCAAAACTCAAAATTCATTCCTGCTTTAAGTTGGCAGATTTTGTAAGGCAGATAGGGTAAAGATTCAAAATTGATTACTTTTGGACACTTCTGGAAGGACACATAAGAAATTACTAATAATTGCCTCAGGAAGGGGAGCCAGGATAGGAATCTTTCAATGTACATACCATTTAATATCTTTAATTTTATACCATTTAATGTATTACCTGGTAAAAAATAGAAAAGTGGAAGCTAGATGTAGGATACATAAACAAGAAAAAAAAAAACCTAAAAAAAAAAAAACAAAAAAAAAAAACAAACCCTAAAACACACTAACATTTAAAGAAGGAACAGAGAAACAGGGCTTACAAAAGGGACTTAAAAGAATGGAAAAGTACAAATAAAACCAAGAGTCATATCATGAAAGTCAGTTTCAAGGAGTGATCAACTATGTCAGAAGTAAAACAGGTAAGAGTTGAAAACTATCCTCTGGTATTCTCAGTTACTGAACAACTGTTCAACAAATATTTCAGAAGAATGGAAGTCAGCTTGCAGGAGTCTGAGCCATGAGTGAAGTGGGAACAATAAAAGTACAATGCTATTTCTAAACACTTTGAATAAACAGAAACAACTATGGAGAAAAGATGTTTAAAGGGGCGTTTAAGATGTTTAAGAGTTTTCAGAATGGACAAGATATGACTGTAGTTTCAGGTTGAGGGGAGAAGGATGTTAATACAGATCAAACATAATGAAGAAAGAATAATTGACGGGAATAAGGTTTCAGAGGAATGGGGAGAGAGATTTGGAAAAAAACACATCTAGATTAGAGTTAGTCTTCAACAGGCTGAGACTCTCATTTCACAAGTCACTTTCTAAAGCTGGGGAGAAGACAGATTCAGATTTAGGGGAAGGACAAATGGAAAGTTAATAAAGGTCACAGATGATTGCCTCATCTTTCTTAGTGGGAAGTCTGTCCCTCCAATACCAATCCTCAGCAGTTGGATAGGAAGACAAAGAAGTAGACTGATGAAGTGGATTAGGAAGAAAAAGGGAGGGAAACAGATATACTGGGAGAAAACAGAGGGAAACAGATATACTGGGAGAAAACAAGTTATTTTAGTGATGCCTAAGAACAAGTATGGCAAATTATTGTGCTTGTCTCCTCCATGTGTTTACTCACAATTCTTTTTTCTTCAGTAATACTCTTTCTCTTTCCTTTACCAAATCTTATCTATAGTAACTGTCTCTTTCTCTTTGCTTTATCAAGTCTTATCTACAATAACAATATTTATAATACATTTACATTTGGTCACTCTGGGGTCAGGCACAGTTCTAAGAACTTATGCACATAAATTCATTTAATTTTCATCACAATCCATGAGATAGTCCCTATTTTTATCCATTTTAGAGATAAGAAAAATAACACAAAGTGATTGCCCAACATTACAGAACCTTGGTTGACTGCAAAACTTCACATGTATTACAGATGAGGCATAGGGGTGCCTGGCTGGCTCATTTGGTAGAGCATGCAACTCTTGATCTCAGGGTCGTGGGCTTGTGAGTTCAAGCCCCACAGGGGCATGGAGCCTACTTAAAAAAAAAAACAAAAAAACAAATGAAGCACAGACAGGCAGAGCTTAGTGGTCTCCTCTGCTTTCTGTAGGATAGCTAAAGCCCCAGAGTCAGCCCCCTTTGAACCACAGCAACTTCCTCTATTTATCCTACAGAGCTGTATAAATATTACCATTTTTTATCTAGACCATGACAACAAAAGAAGCAAAACAAAAAGATTGGAACGCATTACTTTAAGACATAGCTCAAATTCCATCTATTCCATAGTGTTCTCTGACCACCATGACCTGAAGTGATCTTCTATGTATTTCAACTGGAATTAATCACTAGTAATTATTTAATATTTGAGACAGCTTCTACTATTTAATTCATGAAAACAAGAGCACTGGCTTAAATAAGATCATCTAAGTTCTTCCCAGCAATGTAATTTCAGTTTCTTCTTTCCACTGTTGTCATGAACTGTTATTTAAATCTTCCATTGTTCAGTTTTCCTGAGTATAACACAGTTGAATCATGAACCACTTGAGAACAAAGACCATAGCTTATACCTATATATATAAGGCACTACAGATGTATTACACCAAACTGGCATAAAAGATCTAATTTATTCACAGAAAGTGACTAAAGAAATTCAAAATGAAACTCCTGGATTCGCGGTCTCTAGTTTAATTTACTTTTGAGTAATACAGAACATATAAATACTACTCCCTGTTTGGTAATTTGAAAACAATAGCTTTCAATGTAATAATAGATAAATTCCAAATCTTAAAAAAAAAAAAAAAAAAAAAAGGCAGGGGGACGCCTGGGTGGCTCAGTGGTTGAGCATCGCCTTTGGCTTAGGGTATGATCCTGGAGTCCTGGGATTGAGTCCCACACTGGGTTTCCTGCATGGAGCCTGCTTCTCCCTGTGCCTGTCTTTGCCTCTCAATCTGTGTCTCTCATGAATAAATAAATAAAATCTTTTTTTTTTTAAAAAAAAAAAGAATGGACAAATTCCAGATTTTTTTTTAATTATTTATTTGAGAGAGAGACGGAGAGAATCTTCACGGTGACTCCCCACAGAGTGCGAATCAGAACTGGAGCTCTATCTCAAGACCCGGAAGACCATAGGACCTGAGCTGAAACCAAGAGTCGGATGCTTAACTGACTGAGGCATACAGGCGCCCCAAATTCCAGATCACTTTAGCAACATCCATGTGTGCCATTTATAAAATACTTTTTTGTGTGATTACTGATAAAAGAAAGTATACATTCAATAAGGAAAAAAGATTTTTCCAATCTTTTTTCCCACTATATAATAATTTAGTTATTGAGACCAGATTGTATACGTAGGTATGAGAACATCAACAATTTTTAAAAATCAATTTGTTTAAGAAAGAAAGAGGTAGAAATGAAACAGAAAGGAAGTCACTGAAGAGAAAGTGGTTCTGAGATCTTAGAAGGCAATAAAAGGCATGAATTTATTTATACCTTACTTTATTCCAGAAAAGTCATTAAAGGTGGTTGAGGTTGCATAGCAAGTTGCTCAGGTAAAAACATGAACTAAGGACCTGGAGGAGGTCATGAAGAGCAGACCAATGGAACTCTGTGATAGGAGGGATTCAAGCTGGATCATTCTGCTTGAATCCTATCTTCTCTGTAGACATTCTCTGAAATCATTATTTTGTGAAGCTATTTTCTACCCCTGAGTATACAGAGACACTGTATGGTATAAATGTGAAGAGTGGTGATTCTCAACTCAGGACTGTCTTGGCTCATATTCTGGCTCTATCATCTGTAGGACCTTGGGCAAGTTTCTCTGTGCCTGTAAAATGTGAACAGTAATTACAGAGTAATAATCCTGTTCCACATGTGAAACACTTATTATAGTGCATAGTAAGCATTCTATAAATATTAGCACTTATTATATGGAGGAACAGATATTCCAGCACCTTAACAAAGTATACATAATTTACCTGTAGGTGAGGCTGGGCCAGGTCCCAACAATACATTCTTGGAAAAAATATACTTGAAAAAATTACAACAACCAAAACTACCATTTAACTAACACTTAAAGTTTACAAAGCACTTTCAAATACATCATCTTAATAAAAACATACTTCCACCTAGTTATTATCTCCATTTTCACAAATGAAGTTACTAAGGTTTAGAGAAATCTGGAAATGTGTCTATTAACAACTAGCATTTTTGAACATTTTTGCAATAGGCACTATGTTAAGAACGTATGTTAAGAGGTAGGGTTTTTTTTTTTTTAAGATTTTATTCATTTGTTTGACAAAGGGAGAGAGTACAAGCAGAGGGAGCAGCAGACGGAGGGAGAGGGAGAGGGAGAAGCAGGCTCCCCGCTGAGCAAGGTGCTGGATTTGGGCCCAATCCCAGGATGCTGGGATCATGACCTGAGCCAAAGGCAGATGCTTAATTGACTGAGCCACCCAGGAGCCCTGACATAGGCATTTTTAGCCCCATTTTACAAACTAAAAAACTAAAGTTAAAGGACTTGTCCAAAGTGACATGGTAACATGTAACAGAGAAGGCTTAAAGTCAAGTCCAACTTTCCTCTGTGCCATGCCCTGACTTTTTATCCTAATAAAAATTTATCCTCTTGGCCTCAATGTCCTTCGACAGATGAATGGATAAAGATGAATATCATTGAATATTAGCCATTTGAAAGGACGAATACCCACCATTTGCTTTGATGTGGATGGAACTAGAGAGTATTATGCTGAGTGAAGTAAGTCAATCGGAGAAGGACAAACATTAAATGGTTTCATTCATATGGGGAATATAAGAAATAGTGAAAGGGGTGTGACATCAGGGTGGCTCAGCGGTTTAGCGGCCTTCAGCCCAGAGCATGATCCTGGCGATCCGGGATCGAGTCCCACATCGGGCTCCCTGTATGGAGCCTGCTTCTCCCTCTGCCTGTGTCTCTGCCTGTCTCTCTCTCTCTCTGTGACTCTCATGAATAAATAAATAAAATCTTAAAAAAAAAAAAAGAAAATAGTGAAAGTGATTAAAAGGGAAAGGAGGAAAAATGAGTGGGAAAAATTAGAGTGTGACGGAAGATGAGAGACTCCTAACTCTGGGAAATGAACAAGGGGTGGTGGAAGGGGAGGCGCGGGGGAGGTGGTGGCGGAAGGGGAGGTGGGGGGGGCGGTGACTGGGTGATGGGCACTGAGGGGGGCTCTTGGCGGGATGAGCACTGGGTGTTATACTTTATGTTGGCAAATCGAACTCCAGTAATAATAAATAAATTTATCCTCTTGGATGAATTTGATTCCAGTTTTCCTTGATCACTGGTAAGAGAAGACCATTTATTATCTTGAGCTTAGATACTTTGTTTCCAACCAGACAAATGAAAGCCAACAAATCAAAGCTGGTCATTAGACACACATCAGGACATGGCCAATTTACGTAACAGTCTTTAATTTCTTAAGATGTTAAAGTAACTCTGAAACTAGAGTTCTCTGGGCTGCGAACCCGAGAGAACGGAAGACCTTCACCTTTTTGTTCGCAAGCCTTGACAGGCCATTCAATTCTACGTCTCCCTCCTCTCACAGCATGTTCATGGCTCCCTTCATCTTCAGTGCATTCTATTTGGATTTTGACAGTGCACCTGAACCACCTAGCCCCACCTCCAAAACGTACTGAGCCCTTAACAAGAGCAAGCCACACGTACGTATGACATATTAACAAATCCTAGGGTTGGGAAGTCCCAGGCTGACGCAATACACACAAGGGAGTGTGCATCAGCCTCCCTGGCAGTCCTTTTAAAGGTGAGACCTCTCTGGACAGGAAACTGACAGAAAGGCGATTACCATTCCCTAGGGATATACTACTTCAAAGGGAGAAGCTTTCCGCTTCGTTTCTTGAAGGTACAACCAACTCATTAAGGTGATGCCAGCACCTCATTAGGACTCAACTAAAAAAAAAAAAAAAAAATGTCTATCTCATGAAATAAGGGATTTTGGTAACTATCCTCAGGAGTGTAAAATAACTTTCCTATTTACCGGAGAAAGCCACAAAATCAGACTTGTAAAGCAGAACAAAAAGCGCCCTTTCACTTTCCAGCTCACTCGGTGGTTGTGTTACTCCCAGTCCTGTGATCCTTAACGGGCAGGGGATGTGTTTTAAAGGCTTTAAGCCAGCAGGCCCGAAAACTGGGTTCGGCGTCGGTCACGGAAATCTGCACAGCTTTCCTCCCAGGGGCTGGGGCGCCGTGAGCACCTACCAGGACTTCCTTCCCTACAGTCAGGATCGAGGTGTAGGCTTCCAGGTACACTCGCCTGCAGCGTCTTACGATTTCCAGGCCCTTGACTGTGATGTCCTTGGCATCGCCCAAGCCCAAGCCGATCAGGTAAAGCATTTCAAAGTCCAGGAGGGCGGGGACTGCAAGACCGAGGCAGCAAGAAAAACACGTGTCAGCTACACCGAGGGCTCCCCGAATCTAGAGACGATCGTGGAAACCAAGAGCACGTGTGCACGAGGGACCGCAAGTCACGAGCGAGGTCCGAGCGCCTGGCGTCCCGCCCCTTACAACCGCGGACTGGGACGAGCCGCCTCTCCCGTTACACCAAATCAAAAGCGCTCAGTCACCCTCCGAGGGCTGTCGCTGAGTCCCCAAAATTGCTAACCCGCAGCCTCGCCGAATAAGCAGCTCCCCGCAGGGCGAGCTCGCGTGGACGGAAGGCCCACGCCGCCGGCCTTACCGGCGGTGCCGCAAAACGCCGCCGCCTTTACCGCACTTTACGACTGGCCGGAGGGGCGGGTCAGCGGCTCCCAGGCGAGCGGCGCGGAGGCAAGGGCTGGGCCGGAAGTGAGCGGCCGGCGGCTGGGCCGCGACGCCGAGGGTCGGTCGGGCCGGGGTGGGGGGGCGGGGGTCCGCGCACAGCCTCCCGGCGCGGCCCCTGGGGAAGAACGAAGACCCGCGATCCCCTCAGCCGTGGCTTCTCCCACCCCCACCCCCACCCCCACCCCCACCCTAGGACGGGGTAAGTGCGGGAGCTGTGGCCCCGAGGTCGGGCCGCACGGCCGCCTCCCCTCCAGGCCCCGGCGCGGCTGACGGGCGGGAGGGACTGTGAGTCGCCCGGGTGGTGGCCGGGCCGCGGCACTTCCGGCCTCGCCTCAGCATCCCCTCGTCGCACTGCTGCCTCCCTGGGAGGTGTCGGGTTAGCCCACTTGGCCCTCGGTGTGACTCCGATTTCCCGGCGGGCGGTGGTGCCTCGGCTCGGCCCCACCTGGGGACCTCCTTCCGGGGTGCCCCGGGCTCGCCCCCTGCCCGCCGCCGCTGTGCCCTCGCGCCTAGAGAGGTGACCTTTAAGTGCCCAGGAATTTCAGGTTTCAGTCGCTTCCACAGGGGGAATTCCTGCGAAGTGGTTGGTTAGATGTAGTTCCGGTATCGGGAATGGTTTGTTTTGACTGTAAATGCTCTTGGTAAGGTCACTAGTGACCTCATCCAAGTCAAAAAGACAATTTCCATTGTTTATCTTAGTAGGCAGTGTTGATTATTCAGATTTTTCCTGCTTGCTTTTTCATACAATGCCTTGAGTCTTTTTTTGCCCGACGTTTTTTTCTCAAGCCTTAATTTCATCTGATTTCTCCAAGGTCCCATCTGCCCTGGGCACTTCTCATTCAGTAGGCTCGTCATGACTGATTCTATCCGGTGTCATTAACATCCATCCATTCCTTGTACCATAAGCAAAAATTAATTCAAAATGGATCATAGATTTAATGGAAGACATAAAACTATGAAACTTCCTAGACAGAAAATATGTGTGATCTTATCATTTAGGCAAAGACTTGTCAGGTGCAACACCAAAAGCATGATGTAGGGGAAAAAATTTTTTTTGAGGAATTGAAGTTCACTGAAATAAAACGTATGCTCTTCAAAAGTTATTGTTGAAGCCACACACGGGAGAAAATATTCGCAAAGCATATGTTTGTTAAAAGACTTATGTCAAGAATACACAACTCTCAAAAGGCAAAAATAAGAAAACAACTTAATTTTTTAAATAGGCCAAGAATTTGAATAAGAGTCTCGCAGAGTAAGATAGATAAATCCCCAAAGAAGATACATAATATCAAAGAAGCTTTGAAATGATGCTAGTTATTAGACATTAAGGAAATAAAGATTAAAACCACAGTGAGATACTAGTATATACCCCGTAGAATGGCTGACATTGGAAGCAATAATAAAACCCTGAATATACACTCATAATTTTTTAAAGATTTTATTTATTCATTCATGAGAGACACAGAAAGAGAGGCAGAGACACAGGCAGAGGAAGAAGCAGGCTCCATGCAAGGAGCCGGATGTGGGACTCCATCCAGGGTCTCCAGGATCACTCCCTGGGTGGAAGGCGGCACCAAACCACTGAGCCACCTGGGCTGCCCTATTCACTCATAATTTTGAGTGTCTCTAGTATTTTGCTGACTCAGACCTTTAGCCTCCCATTCACATCTCCCCTTCAGCTTCCTATGTTTAACTTTATGCTGGAAATCACCTAGATAACCCAGAGGCATATCACATTCAACACATCCAAAGCTGAATCCATCATCTTTTCAACTTGGCTTTTCCTTCTGTACTATCTACTTTGGATGGAGGGCGTTATCATCTATAGACGTAGGCAAGCCAGACACTTGGAAGTTACCTCACATCCAATCTGACATATCTGCCTCTCAATAGAAATCGTACCTACTATCACAGTCTTTCTTTAGGTCCTCATGTCACTCCTGCACCTGTTCACTGTGCCTCCCTCACATTCATACTTCTTTCGGGGGACCAGAGAGACCTAGCTAAGTTGCAGTCTGAAAATGACATTCCCTTCAAAAAACCCTTTTGAGGTCAAGAGAAAGTCGAGGCTCTTTAACATATCCCACAAGGTCATCCCCAGAGTGACCACTGCCTACCTTGCTAGCCTCATGCCTCTCCACTCCATACCTTGAGCTACTTCTCTAGTGGTACGCTTCTGTGCCCACAACATTCTCCTTTGACTTTAGTCAGGCTACCACCTCAGCATGGAATACTTTCCTCCCATTCTCTCCTATCTAGATCACTGCTGCTCATTCTTTAAGTTTTGGGGGCCCCTGGGTGGCTCAGTTGTTTAAGTGTCTGATTTCAGTTCAGGTCATGATCTCAGGTCGATCTCCCTGGAATCGAGCCCCAAGTTGGGCTCTGCACCCAGTGGTGAGGCTGCTTCTCTCCCTCAGCCCTCCCCCTGACCCTTCCTGCCATTCATGCTCTCTCTCTTTCTCTCTCAAATAAATAAAATCATAAAAAAAGACTAAATTTAGGAAACCTTTCCAGAGATCCCTACACTAGTTTAGGTATCCTTTTAATTATAATAAAACTCTGTGCATATACTTAGAAGTCAACCTAACTAAGTGTTTTATAATTGTCCATTTGTGTATCCTCCTTATCAAACCATTAATTTCATAAAGTTAGGTCCTGTATCTTCTCATCCCTAAGGCTTAGCACAGTGTCTGCCACATAATAGATATTCAGTAAATGTTGGTTAAATAGAGCATTACGTATACACTAGTAGCTCAGTAATTTCTTTGAGTTATGATATATTTTTCGATCTTTATGAAATGCAAGGTGTGGTATGCTTTAGATGACAACCAAAAGTCATTGATGGGATGTCAAACAAAAGCATGTCGTTCATGCCAGTTCAGAAAGTTATTTGTGTTAAAAGGTTTATGACACAGTTCACATATTCCTCATAATTACTCTCTTGAGTAGGTAAATTTTCCAACGTACGGTCATTTTTTTTTTAATGTGTTTTTGTTTTCAGATTTGCTTTGAGTAATTCTAAGTGGATTTACAGTGAAAGGACAGTGCTGAAAGGAAGGTGTAGTTTATGTCCTTTCAGGAAATCTGTATTGAAAATGAAGTTATTCTGGGTAGGTAAGGTGTAATACTTTTTTTTAGATACAGAAGCAATTTCAATTTTTAATCTTCAGAATTCGGTTAACTACTTTCCCTATAGGGTTCTTACCTTTCTACTTGCCTTCATTTCTCAATAGAAGTGTAAATTTGGGGGACTTTTCTGGAGATAGATAAAGGTGTTGTGGAAATCTTTTTTCCTCAACACATGTAATCAGCAAAGTCTTGCATAGTCTTTTTCTGCAGAATTATTCTTTCTGACTCGGACATTTCTCCCTTACTATTTAAAACAATTTCAAATATGATTGCATTTTCCACAGTTTTGTTTTTGTTTTTTTTTTTAGTTTTTATTTATGTATTTGAGATAAAGTGCGTAGGATGGGGAGGGGGAGGTGGAGGAGTAGAGGAAGAAGCAGGCTCTCCACTAAGCAGGGAGCCGGATGACCTGGGGCTCCATCCCAGAACCCTGGGATCATGACCTGAGCTGAAGGCAGATAACTGACTGAGCCATCCAGGTGTCCACGCCCCATCATTTATTATTAAAATTTTCAAATATATAGAAAAGTTGAAGCGTTTTTACAGTAAACATCCATATAGTCACCTCTTAGGTTCTATAGTTGTTAACATTGTGCTGTATTTGCTTTATCACCTGTTTTTATCCGTTCACTGGGCCATCAACCCATCTTATTTTCTGATGCATTTCCAAGAGAGTTGCAGACATAAGTAGACATATTAATTGCATTTTGCATGTAAGGTAAACCCCTCATCTAGATAACATACTAACGAAACATAGCTAAGCATATAACTGATTAAATTATCTCATTTCTTCACCTAATTTAGGCAGAGAATTTGAAAATTTCTCTTTAAAACAATTTCAGACAATTTTAAATCAATATGGTAGCATTATTTTGATGATAATGAAAGTATAATACCATAGTAATACAGTAAATTTGGATCTCACATCTAGTAGAAAAGAGGGGGGTGGTTTTAAAGAACTGCAATTCTAGAGCCAAAAAAAAAAAGATGAAGTGAAAGCCTTTTTAGTTTAAAGAATAACAAGGATAAATGAGGCCTAGAGCATTTTCTTCTTTATATTCCTGCTAGGAAGTAGGAGAGTACCAAATCATCCCTGAGGGTGAACACTTATGCTTTTCCTGAAAGAGTTTTAAGCTGTTTTCATAACCTTTGTCAGTAACTCATTTTTAGTACCCACACTGTCAGAAATTCTTCCTTATATCTAATCTGTGACCTTCAGGCAGTAGTCCTAAAATGTGAACGATGTAGATAGTCATAAGAAGTTAATACTGATGGCTTTTCCATTCCATTGTCATAAACACATCATAGTAGTTAAATTTTAGAGTTATAACAGTTGAGACCGTGCATTACATTATGTACAAATTGTAATTAACTTACATCTAAAAGAAGCCATCCTTCAATTTTCCTATTTGAGTTCATTGTTTGTCTATTGAAAAGGAGACCTCAGAGCTACTGGGTAAACTCCATCTGACCTCGTTGTGAATAAAGAATATTAACCTCTATGTTACCAGAGATTGCCTCATTGTTAGAGTAAATCTTGATTAATATTTGTAGAGTTTAGCAATCCCAGATTAACTGATAGTCATTTTCTATCAATTCACAAATAAGTGATAATTAAAGATAGCATTGCTGGTAACTGAGTGATAAACATTAAGGTGAGCATGTGATATAATGAGCCCTAGTGATTATATAAGACTGGTGAATCACTGACCTGTATCTCTGAAACCAATAATACATTATATGTTAATTAATTGAATTTAAATAAAATAAAAAAATAAAGATAGCATTGCTTTAGAAGTTATATTTGGTATTCCTTCCTCCAAAGTCTATTGCTAAAAGGGTAGAATCAGGGATACAGTAGTTTCACTATTCCTGTGTTTAAAAAACTACACAGTGCCCTTTTAAGATATATTCAGGGAGCCATATAATTAGCCAAGACTTGGTGGGAGAAGGAGAAAGGTTACTCCTTCACTCAAAAGCCAAAATTTTTAAAAATGACTTACCAGGTTTTACTACTCAATATACTACTGCCCTGCTTCTCTGAACTCACCTCCTGCTACAAAAACTATA